TTAAAAATGTTTCAAGGAGTATCATTGAAATTCAAGTAATTTCATAGAAGTGAGAGGAATTTTATAAAAGATCGTGGAACATCATAACAGTTAGTGGCGCCAGTGGTGTAGTGATAAGCGTGATTGCCTCTCACCCCAAAGGGCAAGGGTTCAATCCCAATCGGTGCCGTCTGGATTTCCTGAGGCATAACATCATTGATCACGTCTTCCTTCGGAAGGGAAGTAAAGCCGTTGGTCCCCGGTTCATGAGTTGATGGATCGATAGGTAGGATCCAGGTGTGGGAGCTCCCTCCCTGGTTTCGGTAGCATTGGTGATCATTACAAAAAACCAGATCGACGGAAAAAAATCAAAGAAAAAAAAATCTGGGAATTTCACAGTATATTATAGAACTGCATGGAAATTTATAGATATTCACAGAATTTCATGAAAGCGCTTGCGTTTTTTACAAATTTTCTCTCATATGATTCTAGGCTGCGCATAAATTATTCCAACTATCTGCAGGTGTTCTAAGATCTTATTAAAGTCCAATGCATTTTTTTCCTTTAGAAAGGTTTAGGCTTCAGGTAGATCAGGTATCATTCTAATGATCTTCAACTACCATAAAATTCAAATCACGTTTATTAGCTGTTCTTTTACGATACAACAAATATTCCCAAGACCATCAGCTAATCAGATATCCATCCATGATAAACTCAGGATATCTTTTCAAAACTTCAAGTTGATCAGGTGAAGATCTGTTACTGTCCAACAATTCCAATCACATCTATCAGATATTTTGTCACGATATTTCAAAGACCTTCAGGTGGTCAGAGATCTCCAAAAACTTCTCATAATATGTTTTCAAGTCTTCCGCTTGATCAATTATTACTCTGAAGATCTTCAACAGTTAGACTGTCACCATCAAAGACCGCAGTTCAGATAGTACCTTCTTTACATGTTTTGACTTCAGAATCATCCGGGACCTCTTCTCGTGGTTCGAACTCGTTCCCAGACTCTGCGCTGGATTACAACTACGTTCATTTGTTCCAGAATGTTCTTGAAACAAAATCACCTTCTCTGTTCGTGCTAAAATCACCGAACCAAAAAAAAAAATTGCACACACATACATGCATAGGGATGAATACAAACATCTTTTAAAAGTGTGCGTTGCGCTGGTCGTGTTGTAGTTTAATAATGTATGACGGCATTGGATTCTAGAAGCGATGTTAGATTTTTTATCAATATCTCATCAATTTGTTAATCATTATTAAATCTAATGGTAGGTATATATCTTGCGTAACATTTAAAAAGGGCCAATGACCAAAATGTAAAAAACCCGAAAATTTATTGCAAATTTTTTCGCCACTATTTAATTCATATAGAAGGAAATTGAAGTATTTTAGGCATTTATATTGTTCACAATAACAATAGTAACTGTATCTCAATACACATCATCCAAAATATGCGAAAAGTGTTAAAAAATACATGAAAATCGATATCAATTTAATTTCATAAATAAATAAGCCTTTTTGTGAATCTTTCACACTTCTTGTTAAGCCTTTACTTAACGCCAAATAAATGCAAAACATATCATCGGCCCTGCCTGAGGCAGTGCCTCAAGCATTAGGACCTAGCTTTGATTTGAACATTTTCAATCATCGGCCCTTCTACGTCACAATTTAGCGACGACTTGAAGCAATTTAGCGGTCTATGGAATGAAATATAAAAACTATTTGCTTACATTTTGATCAAAGGCGCATTTCAAATGATACGCGAGTTATATACTTAGAAGTCATCTTTCAAGGAAACATTCCATTATTTGTTAAAACCCGGTCGTAAGAGATAGAGGTAATGTACGGGTTATGCTTAATATGATGGAAATTAGAACTTAACCCTAACACGCGTTCTAATAGACTTTGTTTTGTAGCTTTTGAACTAAACTGTCGTACCTAACATATTATTCATTCAATCACGTAAACATCATTGATATATTTGATGATTCTTTTCGATTCATCTTCATCGATCATTCTTTTCGATGAGATTTGTTTTGTAGTAAAATGAAGCCCATTTGGTATTGGAAAACAGCGCAATATTTATAATAATTCAATATTTTGCCTCACCTACTGAAACAACTTTCCCTACCGTTTTTAGCGTACACCATATATACCGTTTACTTCAAAGGACTGCGTTGCTTATTGGGTGAGTTAATTGATTTTTACAATTTATTTAATCATATTATTCTGTTTTCCCTTCCATAGTTTGCCGTATGCAAATATAGACAATAAGAATCACCTGACCTACGATCTGTCCTATAAATACTTGTATCTCATAAAAATCCAGCCGCACGCACGCATTGTTCAAACATCAACGATTTCAAACATCACGTCCGGAGCAGTTGCCAATGCAATGTGGACACACGGCATATACGCAACCGATACGTGATCGGGACCGATTCCGAGAACCAGATTACACATGTTGTAGTGCATGACGTGGCATTCAACCTCTCTTCACTGCTGACATCCAGAGGAAGGACTTTATAAATAGGAAGTGTAATGCCCAGCTGACACGGTAACAGGAAATTTATGTTCCATTCGCTTAACCCACATAGGGTAGAACTGGGGACAAATGCACCTCGGGCAAAAGGCCCGATTTGGTTTTTCATATATGCTATAGCTATTTCACTCTTAATTCTATTTTTGTGCAGAAATCCTTGTTTAAGCAATCCAAAACGGGAATGATATGAAAAATCACATCGGGTGTTTTACCCCGCGGTGCATTTTGGACTGTTTTCCCCGTTGACCGTCGGGTTCGCGACAGGAAAGTGTTAAAATTTTCCACACAATCGCACATTCACTGACAGGAATGCTGATGTAAGAGTTTACTTTAGGGCCAGATATCTACTGGAAGCTTGCTTGCGCATTGTTATATTGCACCATATGTCATCCAGCCAAGGGCGAAATTTATATTGCATCAGCAATTGAATGGGAATTAAACAACCTGAATACTGGAATTTGAAACAGTCCGCATTTCTTTCGAACCGATTGTTGTGATCAAAAAAAGGAAGGTTAGTCTACTGCTTTATGCTCGCATACTTCAGGATATCTCATAGAACGCTTTAGCTGGGTCTGTGACACTTAAACTGGGAGATAAGCAAGCCGGCGGCTGAAAATCTCAAAAATAAAAATAAAATACAAAAAAAAACATAACATTTTCGTGAAAATGTTCGTTCATATACCCAATGGGGCCATACATATCTCTCACACAATTTCGAACAATTGCCAATTTTGATTTGGTTGGCACTTTAAAGTTGGAGAAAATTTTACTATGTTGCCCAACTCCTGTATTCAACCTTATGTTTTTCAATATATGATATTTTAGCCAAATATCAAATCAAGATATTTCTCAAAAAACCTTTAAAAATGTTCAAAAGTATAGCACCCACAGTAAAGGATATAAGCGAAGACAACATATCAAGAAGACTGGCAACTCTCCCGTTTGCTAATACGACTGCTATGAGTCAGGTACAATCGCGTCATCTGCGGCCCAAAAAGGAAATTTGATAGCAAAAAATCCAACCATAGAAGAAAGGTTTGTTTATTTCTCATCTTTATATACGATGCGTTCACCTTCACTTGAGCGCAGTGGACACTGGTAAAGTTGACAGTCTTCTTGATATGGTGTTTTCGATATAAGTGAACCGTTATTTCATAATTTAAATTCTATTTTCTATTTATGGACTAGCAGCGGCGGCGGTGGTGTAGTGGTGTAGTGGTAAGCGTGATTACATCTCATCCCAACAGGCCAGGGTTCAATCCCAGTCGGCACCACCGAAAAGGGAAGTAAAGCCGTTGTTCCTCGGTTCATGAGTTGATGGGTCGATAGGTAGGGTCCAGGTGTGGAAGCTGCCTCCCTGGCGGCGGTAGCATTGGTGCTCAGGACGGAAAACAAGATCGACGGAAAACAAATCAAGGGAGAAAAAATTATGTTCTAGCAATGATCATAATTTTTACGTCGAGCTGAGTCAGGCCTCGGTACATCCTTTCAAGTGATATGTATCTGCACTGTTCATAGACGAAGATGTTTCATAGATAAAAAAAAACAAAAATTCTGAACGGTTCACAGTATTATTGATTTTTTACCTCTGCAGACTAGTAAATGAAACCCACTTTCAAAAACTAAGCTGCAAGTCGCTATTAATTAAGGTTTCTCTGAAAATGATCAATGATACTTTCCAGCGAATAAATCATTTCTGATTGATTTATCTCAGGAAGGTGTCAACAGACCTGTAGTTTCGAACCAGTACCATAATCCCTCGTGATAATAAATGGGTAAACTGTTTTTGTTTCCCATAAACCGGTTTACAGACGCTGGACACAGTATTTCCAGAAAATGCAGAACAATGCAACCAGGGAGTGAATTACAAAATTTATGTCACTGCCGGCAGAGCTTCGAATGCACTTCTCCGAGTAACAGATTTTCCAGAGCTGTGTTCGATTTGCATAACAATAACATTTAAATTGTGCAAAACTGCTGCACACAATCCCTTTTAGTAGCCGGGCAGGTCATCCGTTTAACGCGGGAAGGAAAACGAGCAAAATGCGATTTATCTCACACCCCCCTCATACTGTTGCTACTCACGCTCTGCTTCCTAAGTGAGGTAGAGTGAATTTTCCAAACTGTCGCACACTTCTCCCTGGCAACATTATGCAAATGGACCGTGATATAGATAGAGCGCATTGTGTTAAGATCAATCTCAAACAAAATCAAACGTGTTAACAAACTGTATCCGACATTTAAATTCAACGAAGGCCTACGCAATCATCATCAGCACCATTGTCGTTAGTGGATGACAGCTCTACACTGTATCATGTTATCCGACCAAGCAGCGCACCACTAGCCGACAGGTTGGGTCATTATCAGCATCCACTCAATCATAACGCAAACGTCCAGATAAAGGATAGGCACTTCCCGAATGCTAGGCAGGTGTACACACCGTTGGGAAATGCAAAAGCTCACTTACCTTTGAAGTGCTTTGGGCAGCACACGAACTCGACACCGGAGAACAGTGAGATTCCGCAGGGTAACAGCATGGCGAAGCTACGCATTTGCATGTTTCGGTCCTGGCATGCGGCGGCGCCGGTCTGATTCCACCTGATGAACGGCCAGCACCTGGACGCGTTGTGGATGTGGTCAAACAGGCAACCCTCGGGCACCAGAAGAGCGTCTGACTGGAAAGGACCTTCTGGAAGCAGAGGGAAATAGGATGGCACAGGATGAGCACGTGAATGAATAAAAAGTAGATCCAAACCCCCGGATGATTGGGGGATGGGTTTGCGATTAATCTTTCAAAAGCGGTAGATGACTGTATGTAAGAGGATTTGTTATCGATTTGCCTCCGGGTTGAATCGGTTCAGATGGTCACAAGAGAGATAAAAAAAATATATACGATAGGCAGATTTTATGTTCAGTGAATGGAACAAGATGGAAATGTACGTTCAATAATCCTCAACTAAAATATGCCACCAGAATGTGGAACTTTCAAAGATAGGATTTACAACGCAATGTGTTTGAGATGAATTTGTATACCTTTGCTAGATTTACCAAATATACCAACTAGTCGCGAACTATTTATGAGTCAGCCATTTTCCGTAATGTTTTGTTAACTCACATCTGTAGCCGTACTAATTATTCCTATCACTGAGCACACAAACATAAATCCATTCAGGACGTGCTTGAGAATATGAGCAAAGATGGAAAGTAATGGCGGTTTCTTTGCTCAAAAATTATCTCGCTGTTTGCATCATTAACGGGAGCTTGCAAGTGGAACATCTAATGATGGTGATGATGATGTAATTTATGCTGCCATAATGTTGAGATGCTAACAATGGCGAATACCTGGGGATCAGATTTCGCAATGCTTGATGAGTAAAATTAAAATGAAGTTGTCAGCGTCTTGTCGTTTTGGTTTGAAAGGAATAAGTTGTTTTATTAGCAGTACAGCGTTGAGCGCTTTGAATTTGAACTTCTTTAGTGATGTTTGACTTACAGACTGGCTATTTTATGATTTAATCAACAGTTGTTTAACAATTTATTCACACTCATTTTAGACATGACAGACAGGGCCATCTGTGGAAATTACTGATGCAATGTTTGAACCCGTTAAAATAACACCTTAATAGAACCATGGACACTGAACAGTTGAAAGATTTCGCTCTGTGCCCTTCGTTAACAACCATCCATATGTTTTTGAAATATTTGTAAACACTCACCAGGTACACACCACGTGTCTAAAGGCACTCATTTTGCATTATACATGTACCTCAGGTTTTTTTTTTACAGAGAGTTGGTTTTGATCAATATAATCAAAACTGTGAAGTTTTTAAAATATTTTATCTTGGGTTTCTTTGAGAAAAAGTGATTTGAAGATTACAAAAGTCGTTAATCCAAGCGTATGGTGAATACTTTTTTTATAATCCATTTATTTGTCATGGCTCAAATGCGTTAGCTTTGCGGAGCCGAATATTTTTTACATTAATATCATTTCTTACAACTAATGTTAGTAGAACGGGGGCCGATTACTCGCGGCTTACTCGAGATTATGGATTCCATTTATTGAACATTTGGATGGAGGACAAGGGAAAGCATTTTGAACTAATTTAAAACTTAAACGTAAAGGATGACTAAAACACAAAACATTAAACATATACATCAACAGCTTTAAGAAAGTCGCTGCTGCATAAAGTCGATATCACGACAAGCCAAGACGTCTCTAATTGGCTTAAAGGGTTGTTTTTCTCGGACCCTAAGGGAATCACACAGAACGGATCTCGCCTCATGATGCAAAGAGCAGGACCAAACAACATGCTCGATGTCGTGATAACCGTTTCGACAGGTACATAAGTTGCTGTCGGCAAGCGTAACACGGAAGAGGTGGGCGTTTAACGAACAGTGATTGGACATGAGCCTGGACATTACACGAATAAAATCACGACTCATATCCAACCCTTTGAACCAGGGTTGGATCGACACCTGTGGGACAATAGAATGTAGCCATCTTCCCAGATCACCATCATTCCACTTTTGTTGCCAGTTGGCGAGGACTTGCTGAAGAGAAATCATGAAAAATTCGTGGTAGGCGATTTGTCGCTCGTAAATATCGCCTTCCATAGCGCCCACCTTGGCCAGCGAGTCCGCTTTCTCATTGCCCGGGATAGAGCAATGAGAAGGGACCCATACCAATGCGAGCTGTTTGATAAAGCACTCAATGACGATCGTATTTCCTGTAGGAAATACGCCGAGTGCTTCATCGGCCTCATTGAACGCGTAGCCTCCAGGGAGCTTAGGCTATCCGTAAAAATAAAATAATTGTCTGGTGAAAGTGAGGCAATACGCTCTAACGTGTACGATATAGCTGCTAGCTCAGCAACGTATACCGAACACGGCTTTTGAAGCTTGTATGAGTTGCTATGAAGATCGTGGAATACTCCAAAACCAGTGGACGCATTTATCACCGACCCATCTGTGAAAAATCTCTTCTCGGTGGGGACGTGGCGGTATTTGTTCGCAAAAATAGTTGGGACAATCAGGGAACGGTGAGGCTCTGGAATTCCTTGAATCTCCTGCCTCATTGTGAGATCAAATCTCACGGAAGAACAATTGAAATGATGGGAGACAGCGCGATTGGGGTTGAACGAGGAGGGGCCGATGTCCAGAGTCATGTACTCGTAGTACAAGCTCATGAATCGTGTTTGAGGATTCCGCTCTAGCAGCTTCTCAAAGTTTTCGATCACCAGCGGGTTCATGACTTCACAGCGGATGAGGAACTGGAACGATAAATCCGCAAAACGATTTGATAAGGGGAGGACGCCCGCAAGAACTTCAAGACTCATGGTATGCGTCGATTGCATACAACCTAGCGCGATTCGAATGCAACGATATTGAATCCTTTGGAGCTTCAATATGTGCGTCCCCACCGCCGATTGAAAGCAAAAGCTACCGTATTCCAAAATCGAGAGAATGGTGGTCTTGTAGAGACTTATCAGATCTTCCGGATGAGCTCCCCATGAAGTGCCGGTAATGGAACGAAGAAAATTGATTCGCTGTTGGCATCTCTGCCTCAGATACGCTATGTGTTTTCCCCAAGTGCACTTGGAATCGAACCAGACACCTAAATACTTAAACGACATGCTGTGAGTGATTGTTCTACCCATAAGTTGAAGCTGAAACTGTGCTGGATAAAGCTTCCTAGAAAAAACAACCATCTCTGTTTTCTCCGGAGAGAATTCGATACCCAGATTCATTGCCCAAGTAGACAAATTATCCAAGGTATCTTGCAATGGTCCTTGCAGGTCCGGTGCTGTTGGTCCAGTCATGGAGACCACGCTGTCATCTGCAAGCTGCCTTAGCGATTTTCGGCCAGACATTCATCAATGTCTTTCACATATAAATTGTACAGGAGGGGACTTAAAAATGAGCCTTGTGGAAGACCCATGTAGCTGATTCGTGCAATTTCCGAGTTGCCATGAGAGAAGCTCATTCGTTTTTCGGACAACATATTAAACAGGAAATTATTGATAATCGGAGAAAGCCCACTCGCATGGAAAGGATGTCGATGCAAACAGAATCAAACGCCCTTTTAATGTCCAAGAAAACTGAACCCATCTGCTGTTTTTCAGCATAGGCTAATTGGATTTCAGTTGAAAGCAACGCAAGGCAGTCGTTCGTCCCTTTGCCCCTACGGAATCCAAATTGCGTATCTGAGAGTAAGCCATTCGCCTCGACCCACTTGTCCAGACGAAGAAGAATCATGTTTTCTAACATATTCCGAATACACGACAGCATCGCGATGGTACGGTACGAATTATGATCCGACGCGGGTTTACCGGGCTTCTGGATGGCGATAACTCTCACTTGTCTCCAATCATCCGGAACAACGTTGAGCTCCAGGAATCGATTGAACAAGTTCAACAATCGCCTCTTTGTGACGTCTGGGAGGTTCTTGAGCAGGTTGAACTTGATTCGAAGAAGAGCAATTGAGAATTCTACCATCGAAAACGGGGAGTCCATGTTGGTGAATACTGACAATATAACTGATTCGATTCAAAACATGTTTAGTAAAAAATATTTAAAAACATGATTTCGCCGTTTGACAGTTCTTTTGAGATTTCAAGTGACAATCATATTGATCTCGTTCATTTTACACACCAAAATGACTGATAAACTAAATAAAATTCTTACTTTTTGCCTTAATCTTTTGAAAAAATGGTTTTTGCCTAATTAAACGATGAAATGCACATTAACCCTAGGCGCCCATAGTCACATAGTCATATAGTGTTACTCGTACTAGAACTCAGTACTCACCAATCAAGATCAAACATACAGTACCCGGTCGAACAGTTGAGTCCGCAGGGCAACAACATGGCGAAGCTACGCATTTGCATTTTTCGGTCCTGGCATGCGGCGGCGCCAGTCGGATTCCACCTGATCAAGTTGAACTTTCACCACTGCACTTGTTAATTAAAATGCGTCCTAGCACACTGATATTAAAAGAGGCCGACTTTGGGTAACGGCCGGCCTTTTTACAAATTTACCTCATCCTGTCATCTTTGTTTAGCCATACTGTATTTGGTCTCTGATGCTTCTATAGTGGACATAACATAACGGCACAACAATTTTAACTGTGGTACAGAACCCTATCACTTCTGTGGTATACTACTGGTCTTGCACAAGAAACGTGAAGGTTCTGAATATACAACATAGACGACAAAAACCTATGAACTTGTGACCAAACAGTTACAATAGGTGACATCTGTTTTGTTTTGCATGTCAAAAATCTAATTCTAAAACAAGTTTGATGAAACTATTTGCAAATGAAAGCCATTTTCCTGATATACTGAACCGATCCAGGAAACCCAGGAGAAAAAAAAATGTGAAATGATGTGTCACATCCCCATGGTTTGACGGGATGAAAAGTAGTCTTTGACATCGGATTTCGGAAGATCATCTGGATACTGACCACCGTGGTCATATTATGTACAGCAGGAATCTCACACTCGCTTATGAAAATTAGCGTAAATCTATGTTTCGCATGCCCATGTTCTGGCAGGAAGAAAAATTGCCCTTCTAGATAATGGCCACGGTGACCAGATTACATCTAGAAATGTCCTCGAGTACTCCATCATACTCATCTTTGAAAATTACAATGATGGGTCGTGTACCTGTAGGAACGAAAAGTGGTGTTCG